AAATATTGGTCAGTTGTTGAGATAATTATAAATTATTCATTTGTAAAGAGAAGTAAAGGTACTGATGGATGAGACTTTTTTTGACTGGTTTGTGATATAAATTATTTAATAGAGGTAAGTTAATTCTGGTTTTTTCAGATCAAAAAGATTTTCCTGTATAATTTGAATAATTGATATAGTTGAGTTTGTTGTTTTTTTGTTTTTTGAATCCTTTGATCTAGATTTCTTTAGAAAAAGTTTGTCTTCTTGTTTTTTGTTTAATAGTGAGATTGTCTGATTTATCAGACAAAATCTGATTAGCAAAAATCCTTTTAAAGGTGCAAAACCTTATACATAACTTACTAAAAGCTAAGTGGATTGATACTGACTTTTTCTTTAAGCTTACTATAAATTGTATACCTTTTCTTTTTATTTCTTGTAATAAATTTTGTCCTGTCTAAAAAAACAAGTAAGCAAAGAAGTATTAGTTACAAAAGTGATTTAACAAATATAATACCTTTGTTGATAATTGATTTGTGTTTATATTTATTGAATCCTTTGGGTTTCTTTGGAATAAAGATAATATTTATTTATATACAGTATGTTTTTAAAATTATCAAAAAAGATAATTTTTAAGAATTAGATTTTTGCAGACAGTATATTAATATGTTTTTGATAATATTATATATAGTTTGTTATAAAAATCTTTAAAATTTTATTTTAGTTTATATTTTAATAAATAATTAAAAATATTATATATATATAGTTTGTTTAAAAAATCTTTAAACAAATTTTTATTTTTATTTATTTTTATTTTTTTTAAGTGCAAATAGGTATTAAATACGATACATTTATTAAATAAAGGTTTATCATTATTACATTAACAATCTTTAAGATATATAGAACTTAAATTAATTGTAGTCTATTGCTTTTTGACATATCTAGCTATACAAAATTTTAAAAATCAAGTAGATGATCCATATATCAGGTGGGACTTATATAGGAAATGGAAATCTTACTACTAGTTTTAAACCATCTAACCTACTAGATCCAGTCTCGGCTGCATCTGTTATAGGTAGAGCACATTATGGAATATTATTATAAAGATTAACCCCAGTATTCCAGTCACTGTTATCACCGAGCCTCAGGATGTATCACTAGCATAACGTAGTATTACCATTTTCACTATCTACAGAATTGGTGTCTTTGCCTGAATTTTGATTTAATCTTGTAGATCCTCACTAGGCACACTTGGCTTAATGATTTTTGTCTAGTCTTCTCATCACCTGTGACTATACATGTGGTGTAAATTATTTTGCTGTTGATTCAATTCCCAAAATCCTTAAAAATAATTGTGTCATGACTCAATTATTTATATGTTTTAATAGTGACTTAATTAATTGCATTAAATAATTATATCAAATAATTACATCAATTGCATCAAGGATCTATAAATTTCAGCAACATATATACCTGTGACTGATACCTTGCCCTTCAGTTATATGATTAAGTTCTATAGAATGTCACCATTGGAATAAATCTACAAGCTCCAGATTGGGATAGAATGGCTTAGAATTAATCTCTTTTTTGAAATTTGTGTAATGAAGTCTGCCATCACCAGTTTTGGGTTAGAGTGGGCTTTTATTAAAATTAAACCAGAAGCCTTTCCTTGTGCAATCTTCTATGCTTTGACTTGATTTCAGCCTGTGATTATCAAGAAGACCAAAGGTCTCATCTTTATGCAGTCTAACTAAATTTGAAAGTAGATTGTTAGCTGATTAAGTACAACATGAATTGGAAGCCAGTCAATCAATCATGAAAGTGATGGATTTTTATAATCAGGTGGAATTGAACCTTAAACCTTCTCCTGGTAACCTATGAAGCATTACCATTATACTATAGATCTATAGGTTTCAATTTATATTTTTATTTACAATTTAATAAATAATTAATAAAATAAAATAAAAATTTAAACATATATTAATAAGAATATAAAAAACAAATTTATTTAATAGGTTTTTATTAATATATCATTGAAATTTATTAAAATTTACTATTATATCAAAAAAAAATTTTCAAAATATATTGATTTAATTTAAAATTTTTTTTTTTTTTGTAGATAAATATTGTTATATATCATTTCTATCTCAGATGAAAGATAAAGACAGAAAACTAGTAGCAGAGAGATACTTTAGATGGATAGGGCCAATGTAGTATACTAAAGTTCCTAGAGGTATACAAATTAGTACAATTCTGAAGTATATGAGGTCAGGTGAAAAAAGCAATAGTAATTTGTTTATAAAGATCAAGTTATTTATTCAATCAATTATAAGTTCAAGCCTATTAATTTTTAGGTAAAATTGGAGCCTTTATATACATGTTTTAGTTATAATATTTTCATACATGATAAATATATATTATAAAAAATAATAGAGATATAAAAAAGTGTTATATTCATTAGAACAGTTATCTGTATATATTAGTATAAAAACAAATGCTTTGGTGAAGATACAAGAATAAAGATAATTAAACAAAATAGGAAATATTCTAAAGCAACAATAGCACAAAAAGCATAGTACTAAACAATAACAAGAATAATAATACAAGAATTATTCTAGAATGGACAGTATTTTAATGGTGAATACTAGTAAAAATCGGACAAGGGTAATGATGATCTTGGATGAAAATCAAGTATTTAATTTGTATAATAATAGATATATATTGTGAAATAAACAATATTTCTCATATGTAATAGTATAACAAGTTAAATGCTAGCTTGCCTATGGTAACTACTAAACTAATATTAAAAAGAAATTTTAAAACAATATATCTTGTCAAGAGGCTCCAAGCAGTTATGATTACCTATTTAGTATTAGATAAAGAAAATTAAAATAATCTATAATTAATTTGAAAATATATTTAATAAAATTGAATTCACTTTGAATATAAAAGTTAGTAACTATGGTAAATATGTCTATGATAGTTGATATTAAAGTAGAGGAGTTGTTAAAAGATTTGGATTTGACTAGGTTTTTGGTCACTTGTTTTGATATGTTGCTATAAAAATTATTGTTCTATTTAATACCAATAAGAGGAGAAGTGTTTACTGTAATGCAGTAGGATATTCAAACTGATTTGTATAGACAAGTTAAGGTCTCAATTGAGACTTTGACCCAGTTGGAGAAGTTGGTTATAAAGAAAATGTCATTAGTAATGCTGTATGTCAGCTTTGTTAACTGCCAAGCATGTAAAATTGGCTTGTAGTTACTGTTGAAGTAAAAGATATTGTTAATAATATTAATAAGTTAAATAATATTTCCTAATACTAATAGGCATTTAAAGACATATTAAATATCCTTAGTGCATAGACTATACTGGAGACAATATAGATCAGAATATTGTTCTAAATATAACTTGTGAAGATTTTCTCTTGTAGAAAGAGTTCCTAAGAGCAATTTGATTCTAAAGATGATAAGATTACTATACTTGTTAACTCTAAAGCTTTTTATTTTTTAATTAGATTTGTTAATGATTTTGAAATTGTAGGGTATGTAAATATATCCAAATATTCTTAAAACTAAAGAGCTTTTACAGATTATGTAGGTCTTGATAATGCTTAAAATTTTTTTGCACTATCTGACACTACTGCCTAACTGAAAATTGTTAATTAGAGGACTTTTAGAAAAGTGAAGTGACGAATTGATTCATTGGAGAGTATTGTCAGATTTTGGATTGAATTTGGAACTGGTATATCTAATTTAAATTGATTTGTTCTATATTAGTTTATTAATTCTTAATATTATTGAAGCAAAGTTAATTTTTGTCATTCTTCTTGGATAGTTGGATATTTTCTAAAGAATTTTTTTGTTACTTCTTATTTTCATAGTACAGTTTGACAGGTATCAATATAGAATATCTATTATTATATGGATGTAATTTAATTAAATTTTAATAAATAAATAAATACAAAATTATTAATATCAAATTGCTTATTAAAACAGTAGTTATAAAAATCATGTGGGTATCAAAATTTTAACAAAAAAATTAAAAAATTGTTAAACATAATAATAAAAATTTGTTCAAATTTAACAAAAATTTAACCATATATAGAATTCATTATGAGAAATAAGTTTACTTAATAATAAAAGTTATTTTTATTAATAAAATAAAAAGTTTATATATGACAGCTATTTCTGTTTAATTATAATAATTCTTAAGTAGTCCTTCATTTATTGGGAGAATTGTATATATAATTTAAAAATTTAAAGATTAAAATTAATTAAAAGGTTTTATTATTATATAGTAATAATATTAATAAAATTATATTTGAAATTAAAAAATATTTGAATTGTGTTTTTTTTAACTATAAAAAAATAATTATTAATTATTTTTAGATTTTGCTAAAGAAATTTATTAAATAATAATTAAAGATAATTATATTTTTATAAAAGATATTTTTTAAATATTATAATTCTTATAATTCTTATTATTTTTAATAAAATTTTATTTAATAATAATAATTTGAATTGAATTTATTTTTAAAAGAAATTATTATTTTATAGAAATTTTTTATAAATTTTAAATGTACTTTTTAAAACCAACTTATCAATTAATTGCATATATTGTATATATACTGCATATACATATACATATTTATTATTATATACAGTGTATAATATTTTTTTATAATTCAATCTTTATACGTTGATTTTTAGCAAAAAACCAACTTTTAAAAATATTAAAAAATCAATATAATTAACCTATAAAATATTTAAATAAAAAAATTATAAAAAAAAAATATTTATAATTTTATTAGTCATTATCTAATTTGTTTTGAAATTTAAATTTAATAATAATTTTATTATAGAATAAAAAAAAAATTTTTTAAATACGTAATTGTAATCTTTAAATTTGTAAATAAGAAATATATTATTAATATTGTTTTGTTTTATTAATTATTTACAAAATTATAAAAAAAAATCCAAAGACTTTTGTAACAGATTGTATAATCATATTTAGAATCATTTTGGTATTACGGTATTATTTCGTTCGCAACCGAGATGGATTAATTTAAAAATTGTTGATGTTGATCTTTTATTTAATATGAAGATAATTTTATACATCGATAATGATATTCGAATATAGTATGGTAGTAACAACATTCGAATATGGTCCTTGTGGATATAAGTATTTGATCTTAGAACGAATTATTACAAATCTTCTAAAATAAACATATTAAATTAATTAAATATGTATTTTGTTCTATAAAAAAAAACTTTTTTACATAATTGTTCGATTTTTGTAAATGTTCAGTAATTCGACGACAATGAAAATTTGATATTCAAGAAATCGAATTTTAAATGCAAAAATTGCGAATAAATACAAACCTAACCTTTCTCCCGCAGAATTTATACAAGTTTATAAGTCAACCATATCTTACATTCTCAAATTAGTTCATCTTTCGGTCTTTAGTGTCCCAACAGCGTACCCTCCCTTCCTTAGCATTTCTTCGAAAGTCACCCGTTGTTTAATTGCCATCCCACAGTTCGGATCAATGCGCAATGCTCGATTTAAATCCTTGAATGACTCATCATATCTCTTCGACCAAAAATATACGAAACTCCTTTCACACAACGCCAACAGATTGTTCGGTTCTATCGACAAACCCTCATTCAAATCCATCAACGCCTCAGCATATCTACCCATAATCCGATATATCGATCCCCGATTAATCAACACCTTCGCCGCATGACTGGTGTAGGAAAATTTATTCTTGGCATTAGACAATGATCGGTTAAAATCTAGCAATGCCTCGGCATAACGTCCCATCGATCTATGCACTTCTCCTCTCAATGATAAAGAATAAAACCAATCAGGTTGCATGGCTAATACGCGATTTAGGTCATCCAACGCCGCATCCAACGCATTTAGCGCATAAAGTGAGGCGCCACGATAGTATAATGCCCAATGATTTTGAGGTTCAATGTTCAGCACACAGTTGAAGTCCCTTAACGCCTCTTCTTGCATGTTCAATGAATGATACACGGCTCCGCGAGTTCCCAAAGAAAATATATTATGTGGATCAATCTTCAACGCCAAGTTCAAATCTAACAATGCCTCCGAGTATCTATGTAACATGTAATAAACGGCACCCCGATTAGAGAGGGAGAACACGCTGTTCGGTTTAAGTTGCAACGCCAGATTTAGATCTTGCAGCGAATTTTCGTATTTCTGGAATATACGATACAATTCTCCTCGACGTTCACGTGCCAAAATGTAATCAGGAGCCAAACGTATTGCTTCAGTAAAGTCGGCGAGTGCATCATGGTTTTTCCCCAACATTCTGTGTATCTCGCCCCTACTCGTTAATGCAAATACGCAGTCAGGTTCTATTTTTAAAACCTTACTAAAATCCGATAGTGCATTATCAAAACGTTGCATCGATTGATGCACTTCTCCGCGTTTCCCAAGTAAACGTGCATTTTTTGGTGAAATCTGTAAGGCCAAGTTTAAATCATATAGGGATAATTGATAATTACCCAATAATCGATTTATCTCTCCTCTTTTTTCCAATAGCCTTATATTGCCGGAATCCAATTGTATGGCTGCGGTATAATCATTCAAGGCCCTGTGCAGATTTCCAAGTTTGAGATAGATATACCCACGATTCTTTAATGCGAATACGCTATTAGGATTTTCTTCGACAACCTTATTGAAATCCTGTATAGCATCATCAAGTTGATTCAACTGAAGATACACCGCACCTCTTCTCTCCAATGCCAGTGTGTTATTCACCTCGCGTTCCAACGCTTCATTCAAATCCGCCAGTGCCATATCAAGCCTCCCCATTATACGGTAAACCTCTCCACGATTTGCCAGCGTTGAAGAAAGGTGTTGTGGGTCATTTTCATACACATAGTCCAGGTCTGATATCGCATTTGAATATTGGCATAATTTGGTGTAAACTTTTGCTCTTCGAATAAGGGTATATGAATTGTTTGGTTCAATTTTCAAGGCGGCATTTAAATCATCGATGGCTTCGGAATACTCGGACAATACAAAATGAACTTCTGCGCGAGCTCTTAATGCAAAAGCTGTTTCTTGTAATTGGATGGATTTCACAAGATCTGCCATGGCCTCGGGGTATTTCATCATCAATCGATGAACTTCCCCCCGAAGAGCGTAAGCGCGTGATCTATTAGGGAATCGAGTGATGGCTACTTCTAGATCCTGTAATGAGAGATCCCAGGATTCGACATGATAATATGCGTAAGCACGGTCACAATGGATGGAATAGCTATTAGGGTATTTTATGAGTAATTGGGTAAAATATACGATAGATTCTTGATATTGTGCGGAGTAGAGGGCGTTCATGGCTTTGCGGTAAGTAAGATTATTACATTTCGATCTCCTGAAAAGATTTTTAAGACTCCTTTCTTTATTTCCACTCATTTTTCTAAAGCCTCAATATAGTAATTCGGTTAAGATAAAGTTTAAACATTAAATGATGATTACGTGTGTAAATATTGGGGTTAGAGGCAATAAGGTTTCGTCGTCTAGCATGCAACGGAAAAACGGGAACGTCCGTGGTAAGATTAAATATTTAAGTTTTTTTTTTTTTTTTTAGCCAAGAATCTCATTCTTCCAAGGTTTAATTAAACGAATGTATGTAACAGGTAGGTGAGACAAAGCTGACAGCCAATGTGTATCTTACATAGAATTGCATACCTTTTTTGAAGCATGTGTTGATTTCCGATTACGTTCTACACTTTCGGCGCTAGGAAAGAATTACTCAATAATTACCTGTTTTTCAACATTGATTTTATTCAACATCTAGTTATTAATAACGATTTCATCTTCTGCGAGCCCGGACAATACCTTAATCCGAAAAAAATCTATGATGCTCGACTTTCATACTGTAGCACATTTCCTATTAATAAAAAAAAAAAATTTTTTTTTCTTTGTCACTTTCGCTGATTAATAATCACGATTTCGTTTTTTCACTGGTATGGTTAGTCTATATCTTATTCGGATCCCATTACGCAATGATGAATGCGGTGATACTGAAATGTGATGACCGCAGGAAGCATCATATTAGGTTTTTGGAATGTTTATGGAAACACCGAAAAAAAAATTTTTTTTATAATTCACACAAAAACCAAAAATATTTTTCCTGGACAATTTTTGATAAATATAAAAACACTATAAAACACTGGTTCATCCCCATGATAAAATGAAAAAAAAAATTTTTCAATTTAAACATTACACGGCAATACTGGCGGCCCGAGTCGATTGGATGGATATAAAGAAATTTATGTAGCTTCTTTGTGTATTATCGTACAAATTTGGATCATTTCTGGACGTTGACGTTATTAGCCAAACCCAAATCAGGAAATTGCCCTATTTTGATCTTATTTGGGATTGGTATTCTAAATCCCTCACGCAAATCTCCAAAATTCATTTCATTGTATTCAAACTTTAAAAAAAAAAACCAATTAACGGATTACTATAAAAAATGTTTTAATAAAACCAAATCTTTTTATTCAAAGAACATGGGTGCGCACGTGTATAAATTCGGATGTCAATTTTATCCCTTTCACTTAATGACTAATAAAGAAAAAAAAAGGAAATATTAAATAAGGAGCTAGCACAAGTATGAAGAATAGTACGATTGTTGGAAATTAAAACAACAAATGAATCCATTGACTATTTGTAACATGTAATTAATAAGATTATCTAATAACATTGAACGGTATACAGTAAATAATAAAAATCTAGCAGAATTTTCTTTTTAAAGTATACAGCATGTAATTTAAAATTCATTCGAAGGAGTAATTTCTAATAAATTTTTATAATTTTATTGATTCTCATCTTAAAATTATATGATCAAATACGATGTATATATGTCATCATTTGTTGTTTTGGATTTCCAATTACTTTTTAAAATATATCATATTTTTTTAAGAATTTATTATATACACGTATATACTGTACATATAACTTTTTTAAAGTATTTAATCGTATAATAATAAACTATTAAAAAAACTTTTTTATTTCAAAAATATAAACAAAACTATATATATAACAGTTTGTTATAAACAAAAGTATATTTTGTTTTATTCTTTTTTATTCTTTTTTATTCTTTTTTCTTTAAAATATTTTTTTTATATTTCTTTATATATCTATATCTATATATTATTTTATTGATTTTTTAATTTAATAATATTATATCTTAATTAAACAAATAATTTTATTTAAATAAAAAATATATACTGTATTTGATAAGTAATACAAACTTTTTAAAAAAAAAAATTATTATTGTGATTTCAAAAAATTTTTAAATTTTTAAATTCTTTTTATATTTAATTATTATATATCAAATTAATAAAAGATATTAAAAAATATTCTTATATTTTAAATATTTGATATTATTATTATATTTAATTTAAAAAAAAATAATTAAAATATTGTTTTTTAAATATATTGATGAGCTTTGGCTATTACTTTAGTATTATATAGAAATCAAAATATTGCTTAAAATTGAAAATTTGATTATGAAATCTAATAAGATTTTTAATATTTGTAAACGTTCTAAATCTATTAAGTTTTAAGTTAAAATATATTATACTAATATAAAAATATAATAAACAAGAAACTAATTAAGTTTTCAAATAAAACATAATTAAATTATTTTTTTTTTAATAGATCAAATATTTTGTATTATATATGTTGAATAAATAAAATAAAAAGTTTAAATATTAAATTATCTATTAATAAAAAGTTTAAATATTATAAAAAAAAAACTCTCACCCGTTCACCGCTGATTTTTGGAAAATTTCCTTTTTAGGAAATCTTCTTCCAAGAAGCATCTCACTTTCTTTATTTCCTAAGGCAATAAGCTTTAAAT